AAACTGCTAAGAAACACAAAACTTAGAGTGTCTAATTATTCTGAATATTTAATTCTTTTGAACAATATGCTTCAGAAGAATCATTATCACAATGAATTCCCTGACATTATCTATTATTTACAGAAGTGGCTATTCATGCCAATGTAACCTCTGGCATGATAAATGGGTTAGTAAATCCAAAGCATATGTGCCCTTTTGGTAGCAGATGGCAGGCTAGTGTCAGTTGAGACACTCTGAATTCTCTAGTGGCCTTTACAAAGTTCATAGTTATTTAAGAGACTATTGTAGCATTTCTATTTCAGAAAAGGTCAATAAATATAATAAAAATAAACATACAAGTAGAAACACAAATAATTATTTTTATGTTGTTTTTACACATAGAACAGATTCCTGTTTTTTTTCAACTCAATATGAAATTCCACTTGCCTTCAGTTTTGCCAAGATTTCATTCAAGGGCTGTGTACTAATGAAAACATTTCAAAAATCCATGAATAATATTTCTCACGTACTCTTTAACACTTTGTGTCTTGTGGAATTAGGACTGTCTCTTATACACATCTCCCCAATCCCTTCTTGAGACAAATGCAGAGTTCTGCACTGGGCACACTATCAAATTCTCTGGTCTAGCATATGGCTCATCAAGTCATCTTTTTTTTGTGCTCTTAAACTTTTCCTCCTGTTCCCATCACCCTCCTCCCCATCCCCGTCCTTGCTCTCATACACAGTTTATTATCTTCTTTCTCTCTGTCTTGTCCCAGGCTTACTCATCTCATTATGTCTTCTGATGCCAGAAAAGATTCTGTTGGTTTGCCATATGGTGTTAAGAGGTGCCGATATTATTGCAAACACCATTTGCCTGGCTTGATGTAAGCCTATTGATGCATCCATCAACTTGCTGCTGTTTTCAGTGAAAGTCCATTCTGCATTCTCTTCTATGACTTCTTATTTTTTTTCCCATAGGGTGTTTTGTATGTTTGAATTTGTTCAGAATCAAAGATAGGTAATATTCTGGGGATACTTGCTGACAGCTAACTTAAAGTGTAAATTACAATGCTGAATTAAATTCCAAACTTCAAACACATGCAGGTAGATAACTCTTTACACAGTGTAGGTGTGAACTCCTCTTCCAGCATAATTGTGGATGCTAAGAGTCTGCATAAGTTCAAAGGTGTCCAGGCAAATATATGGAAGCAAAATCAACTAAGAGATAAAAAGCCTTCCAAAGGCACCATTTCTAGCTTATAAAATCTCTGGACTGGATATTGCTGGAGTCTGAGTCTGTTCTGGAAGTTCTAGCACTTTTTTTTGCTGTGGTCTTATATGCTTCCCCTGGCCACTGTTGGCTACAAGGTACTAGACTATTTGGACGGATTTTCAGTTTAAGCTGATGCAGCTGCTCTCTTCTGGCCTGGTTAATTAACTTTGTGCTTAGAATACCTATTTCTCATTTCACTTTCATTTTATCTATGATTAAAATGTAGGGATATAGGACTACGGTCATTCCTGGGTCACTTTTTTCAGACCCTTTCCTCATTGGCAACTAAGTCTATCAGTCCCATTATAAACAATTCAGGCTCCCTTTTCAAAGTCGTTAGGTTGTTCATTCCATCGCTGCCAAGAGGATGTTTCAGAGCTTCATTTTCCAGTGCTTAAAACCCATCCTTTAATTTCCAGTTGAAATTTATTCATGGCCATTTTATACCCATTTGTCCTTGTGCCAACTTTGTTCTTCAGCTTAAGTAGCTCTTTGCCTTCCTCAGTGTTTACTTCTCCCCCACACAGTTTGTCTGTGGAGAATAAACAAGTCACCTCTTAACCATCATTTTGCTAAGGTTACAAAACTGTGATCTTTAAGACTCCTCATGAGATATGTCTCTGTTACCATAAAGATTTTGTTAGTAGTTTTCCACAGTTCCTTCTGAGTACTGCACACGGCTGTTCAAGTGAAGCCTTGTACGAAAACATTCATACTTTCCCTTCTCCACTGGCAGTGGTTTTCCTGATCTGTCCTTTTCATGGTTGTCATCCTGCGGGGTCATGCTTGTCCTCATCCTCTAATGGGGTCATATATACAGGGTGTCCTACTCATTTCCAAATTATGAGCCCCTGCTCATAACAGCAATTCTTATTAAACCCTAAATGTGTAACCTTGCACTTTGACTATTACATTTCATCACATTTCTATTGCTTCAGAACTCAAGAACATCCTGTTACTCCTGAAAGATATTCCAAACTCCCTGATATTGGCAGCAGCCTCTGACTTCACACGGTCAGCAGATTTTGTTAGCATACTCTGACTTTTCGTGCCAAGGTCATTAATGAAAAGATAAAATAAGATCAGTCTCAAAACATCCCTGAAGACTTCCACACATAACTTCCCTCCAGTATAATAATTCCTCTTTTGGCACAACTCCTGTCATTGCCTCTTTAACCAGTTCCTTACTCATGTTGCAATTCTTACACTAATCCTCAAGTTCTCTAGCTTGGCTAATAATTTCCAGCATGGCACCATATCAAATGCTTTATTGAAGTACAGATAAATGAGATCTACCACATTTCCTTTGTCTATAAAAACCGGTTATCTTATCAAAGAAAGATACCAGATTACGCTGGCTTGATCTACTCTTGGTAAGTCCATTTTATCTCTTAAACCCATTTTATCTGTTTTGCATTTTATTCTCATGTCTTCAATTATATTTTATTTGAAAAATTGTTCTAAAACATTGCATACTATTGAGGTCAGTCTGCTGGGTCTGCATCTACTTATAACTAACTGTAGAGTACATGCTGTAGGACATACAGAACACTGTGTGATGCCTATGCCAAAACCCTTGCAATGAATTGAGGTACTTGAAGAGATGAAATGTATTGGTTTGGTTCCACTTTATTGCCGTACTATGTACAGGCATGGACTGAGATGAGGATGTGTCTAGGCTGTTAGACGGGGATGTGAGAAATCCAGCTAGCTCCCTCCAGACCAGCTCCCTCCAATCCTGGAGAAGTGACATGGAGTGGTCAAGGCTGTTGAAGGGCCAGCTATGGTATGGCCAGGAAGGGTTTAGGTCTTCTGGGGCAAGTGTGATAAGGAATTAGAGAGAATGGGGACTCAAAGATAGTAGGAATTGGAGATTACACAGAGGAGATGGTTTTGGGAGGTCTGTGGTCCTCTGAGGATGAATGAAGTTGTCTGGATACAATGAGGTTTACAGATGCCCCAAAAGTATTGGAGAATCCAGATTTGCTGATTGGTTGATGGGAGGTATGCTGACAGTGTTGGCATTATGACAGTGATATAGCTCTACTGAAACTCTTAGCAATGCTCATAGGGACCCCAAAATAAACCAGATGTCTACAGGAAATCCTTAGATCTCTTCTGCTTGAAGCCAGAAACATTCTGGTCCTTCCTTCATTGCTCTGATCTGCTGGGATGTGATTGAGACATCACCTTACTCCTGCAAACGTAGGTATGTAATGTAGTCTCCTTTACAAGACACATACCTGAGTGTGAGCTCTGGGAGGTGCTCTGAATGGAATTTTAACGTGCTTAGAGCTGTTTACTTTGTTCCAAACTTTAACCTCAGGGAAGGACTGAGTGGTCATGCTGAATAGCTGACGGATGGCAGTATTCCTTCTACTAGCCGAATGATTGTTGTTTGGGTGGAGTTAAAGAAGCAATGAGAGCATGACTGTGCTTCCACTGGTGAGAGTTTTAGCTACTGATTTCCTGTTCTATCTGTATTTTTGTGCATTTCTTTTGTAGTTTGTAACGAATCTGTCAGAGTTCAACAACACCATTATGAAGGAATGACATTAGATAGGGATGTTGACCCAACATCTGCAAGAACCAGCTCTTGAATGTCTCTTGGTCTTGGCTACTCAGCATACACAATGAACAGTAGCTTGGTGACAAAGAATATTTATATTTTGCTGCAGGATGATAATTGGCTCAGTATGGAAGTTAATACGATTTTATTTGGGGATTGGTTTGTAAAGAGATTACATTTTAAGAAATCCTTGGGCATGGAGGGTTTTGTAGCTGTATTTATATAATCAGCTATGGACACTTGAAACTTCAAACATTCATTATGACACAGTAAACCATGTTAGAACATGGATGATCTTGCTCTAGAAGAGTATGACTGGAAAAGAAAGACTGTGGGGCTGGTGGGAGATTATACTACATGAGGAGGAAACTTGCCTCCAGATAGTTGGGGAGCAAGGATGTCACAGTTCAGCTTTTCAAGCCACAAATGTCAGTGACCAGCTCCCATTCAAACCAGTGCTAGACTGACTCAGGCAGGTTGAGTTCCTTACCTGCCCATTGAAATGATGCAGAAAGTCAACAGAAATCTGTGTCTCTCCCCTCTAGCTACTTACTCTCTAAGCTCCGTGGGGCAAGCAGTCTTACCACAAAGTTTTAGCATCTTTCTTACAAGCCATGATCTGAGCGGGTACCTTTACATGCCACTGTAATGCAAGACTTGTTATGATTAAAATAAATTTTCTTTTCAGTTAAAGTTGGTGGGAGGGAGGACAGGGGTGAAACTTGTTTTGGGAAAACAGAGAAAGGAATAGAATTTCCTTGGTAATACTGACATGGATGTCCCAGTTTGATGCAGAATTTATCGTCTACTGATGTAGACAAGCATTGGTATATGGAGTGGGCATGTGCTGAGTGTCTGATACAAAGAAATAGCTCTGGGCAGCAGTTTAAATACTTGTTTCATTACTTTGGATATGTGGGTGTTGCTTTAAATTTAATGGTCACTACAAATCAGTGTAACGCTAAAGCTAGAGGGCTAATGGCCTTTTAGAGTAACTGAGTCAGCTGCAGAGACTGGATCCTCTACTGGTGTAAAACACTGCAGTTCTGTCAAAGTCCATCATAAGCTGTCAATTTAGACCAGCTGGGAAGCCTGGTCCAGGAGTCTGTGAACTTGAAGGTTACAAAAATTATCGAAGAAATTGACATTATTTCTTCATCTCTCTTCTTTCCCCAGGGCAGCCATTGAGGCTTTGGCAGCTTTGCTGAAATCAAGTAAGCTTTTTTTTTTTTTTTCCATCTTCATTTTCTGACTTACTTTCTATGCTGTACTGCTGGACAGAACGATCCTGTTGAACCTCATTTTTCCTTGGTACCTGCTCTTCCCTCACTCCCAAAGAGCACTGCTTAGAAAAGAGAGGCAGTAATGCAGGAGTTTCCTCTATGTCTAGCAGTGATTCTTGGAGCCCCATGTCTCTGTGGACACACAGCTCTGAGGGACATGGTGCCCTAAGTCCCAGGGAGCAGGCTGCTGAGGAAACCAGACAAGACCCTTATTTTGAGTATTTAGGGAACAGTGGTTTTCCTGGGGCTTGGAACCTCTCCAGCCAGCAACAAATACTTATTGCTCTGTTCCAGCATCACTGGAGAACGGGGCCAGAACCTGTCTGTCCTGTGGTGCTGTTGCACTGTGTGCTTACCTGGTAACAATGATGCTGTTGTCAAAGGCTTGGAGAACTTCTGTAATCCAAAGGAGATGTCCGTTTTCTCCCTTGTAAGCTTGTCAGGTCTGATAATGTTCAGACAGTGCTGAGACCGAGTGATTGCCAGGGTACAGCCCTGCTATGGCAGGCTGTGCTTAACATTTGCACCAGCTGGATGGGGATGTTGAAGACCTCAATGTGGTTTCTCAGTCACTCACTGCTTGCGTGACTGTTCCTGAAAAGACTATGCTACCCTTTTTTGCCTTCATCCCATCCGAAAACACTTAGCTTTTTATTACCAGAATTTAATAAAGGTTTGATTAAGAAAGAGCACTCTACTATTGCAGACAATATACAATAAATCACAATAGTGTATTGTCCTTCTCTCTCTCTTCCTTTTTCTTCCCCTCTCTCTTCTCCTTTTCATAGTATTAAGAATAAATGCATTTGTGAAAAATTGTAGCTCTGGAAGCAGTGCTCAAATGAGCATGCTGCAATGGGATCGTGTCTGAGTTGCAGCAGCTCAAGTGATGAATTCTGAAATAATGCCTCAGTATTAACCTTGCTGCCTAGATTTAAAGGTCATATTATTGCAACAGGGAAAGACCTTCTGGTTTGGGTGCTAAATCTTAATAAGGTGGTTGTGGCACTATGCCACAGCTGATTGCAATACAGAAGCAAAATTAGCCTTCAGAGTAAAAAGAAATTTACAGAGAAGGCTGGAAAAGTGGAGCAAGAGCTGAAAGCTCATCTGGCAGCTTGAGCTCTCCTCCCGCACTTCTGTTTTATGGTAAGTATTAGGAATGGAAAGTGAAATTCTGTTGTCCCAAGATATTTATAGGATAAGTTTTCTACCTGGAGGCTTGTTCTGGGTCTGGAGATGAGAACAGTATATAGAAGTGGATGACTAATTACCGAGGAAAGCTGTGAAATATAGTTTCCTGGGGAGTTGTAAACACATGTTGTGAAAGTTGTGGGGAAGCTGAGAGTGATCTAGGGAATCTCAAAGAATTGCATTCAGCTCCAAATTCTCCCAGACGTTTTTCTCCTGGAGTGAGGTAAGTTTTTAAAGCCATTTACTCTTAGAAATTTTCCATGTGACTCTTGGCCGATTGAGGTTGTGAAGGCATCCTGGTTCTTCCTTTTACACTTTCTGTGCTTTAGGAATTGCACAGAGAGTTTCCAGTACTGTTAGAACACATTGATCATTCTGGTTGTTTTTTCAGTTGTTTTCACAGAAGGTACAAAAAATGAACTCCAATGAGATTTTAGTCTATTGACCAAAGCTGCCCATACATTGCCACTCTGGTTGATCACTGTGATGTACAGATTAGGGTTCTTGTGTTCACTTGTCCTGTTGACCATTGCAAACAAAGGCATTGCTTGGGAGAGACATTTCTTTATTTTAAAACACCTTCCCAGTTTGCTGTTATGTGTCCTTTTCCCCTTTATCACTCACAACCAAGCAACATTGTTCCAGCGACACTGGCTACTGCTTCCATGGAAAATGTAATTTTAGAAAAACGCATGTCTTATTTTCAGCTGATGTTCTTTTAAGGCACTGGAACTGGGATTTGGGAAATGGTGCTGATACTGTGCAACTAAATAGAGCACCACAGCCCACAAGTCAGTCTGAACTGCGTGTTTTGATGTTTTCTGCAGTCTGATGCTGAGTGGTCAAGAATGTCTTTTAATTTTCTCCTTGTCCCGTGGCTCAGGACACAAGAAGCTCCAGGCTTCGGGAGTAGACTGCTCTGGTAGCTGCATACAAATGAGCAGTCTGTGTCTTTTGGGAGGTGTGGGTTAGGACATATGAAAAACGGCTCTGGTTCTTCCAGAGAGAAATTCACCATGGCTGGATAAGAGTTGAATTCTTTTTCATGATTGCATCGGGACAGCTTTGTTTGTCACAGTTAACTTATGTCCATGACCTTAGTGCCTTTGAATGCTGCAGTGGTTCTTAGAAAGTTAAAAATCAAATCTGGTGAACGCTATAGCACTTGAAAATTGCTTATGGAAACAAGGGGTAAAACTGTACATGGCAAAGCATCGAGAAGCCCGTTAGCGTGTTTCAGATAGGATACAAGCTAAATGGGAGGCAGGAATCCTGGAACGTGCTACAGTACTGAATTGGTGGGCTGGATATTGTGAGATTTTCCGGAGACTCGCAGTAACCCGCTTGCTGGCAAATGGTGGTGCAATTCAATTTTGCTGGGAGTGAAGCCTGTAAAAGAGACAGGGCAAGAACACACCCATTCTTGAGGGTCTCCCTGTAGGGCTGCTGTGTCCTTAAGCGCTTCAGCCCAAAGAAAGCACGAGGGTTATGGTTATATACAGAGATGTGTTGGAGCGTAAGTGTCCCTCTCGCTTTTGGCAGCGAGCCACAATGGAAAAACACAAAGAGTAATTTTAAAGGGAGCAGGCAGATGGCAGTGTGTCTCCCTGATGGATTCAGAAATATCCATCTTCAGCTACGGAGGCTTCCATAAGCTCTACTTGAGACTTTGTCCACCTGCAGAGCCAGGGGCTGGCTAGAAACTCTTTGGCCTCTGTCTCTTTCTTAACGGTTGATGCTAAATGCCTCATTAAAGGTGTGTAACTGTAAGAAGCAAGATCTACCAGGAAAGACAGCATCAGTGTAAGAAAAAATTACCTCTCTATCTGTACCTGGGAAATTGTTGCTGTTGTGTTTCAGAGGGGCAAGTATAAGACTGTCCAAAGAAATAAGTGGGTGGAGGGGGCATAGCCCAGCTGAAGCCTGTTTGAGCAGTGGTGGAAGGTCAGGGCTGACCCCATGTTGCTCTTAGCCATAGGCTCTATGGCTTTTAGTGAGCTCATCCCCCCAAAATAAAACAGGCAAATCATTCCCAGTTTTGGAGGAGTGCAAGAAAACTGGACACCTGCTATTATAAGCGGAGACAAGTGCATATCTAGGGGTTTGGAGGCTGAAAGTGGTGTAATGGAGCAAACTGGACAATGCTGCTCAGCACCTTGAGCCACACGGTGGCAATGTTATTATAGGGATCCCCACTCTCGCTGGCGCTTAATCCAATATTTATTTTTTTGTAAGTAATTTGTTTATCAGCAGGTTATTTTAATCTAATTTTGGTTGTATTTGTTATTCCTGACTATCTGTACTTCCCAGAATTAGCACCTTGCATGTCTTTAAGGAAATTAGCTAGAGCTGATCTCGGAGGCATTTGCTCAGCGGATATTGAAGGAAAGGGCTAGGGAAATGGGCAGGGCCCTTGTTGCAATGCTTGCCTAGTAAAATTGTAATAGGCAATTTAAAAAGACAGGTTGTGGTGATCCCCTGATCATGCTTATTTCATTAAGCCAGTTCTGTGTGCTAACAGCAGTTATTGCCAATGGCCTTTCCCCTCTCTTCCTATATCTCTTCCTTCCTCCTTTTGTCTTCTTTATTCTCCTGCCTTCCCTTCTCCCCCCTCAGCCTTGCATCTCTCATTTCCTGTTCTTTCCTCCTCATCTTCCATCAACTAACCTTTATTTAACCTTTCACCTGCTCATTTCTTTCATCAAAGCAGAAGGATTATGTCTTATGGCTAGTGGGATAAAATAATCGGTGTCATTCTCTTCCTTTTATGCTGGCATCAAGGAGGGACATGTAACTCTGTGAGAGACAGAAAGCAGTGTTCTAGCACATAAGCAGATTATGGTTTCTGAAAGGCCCGCACCCACTATGTCTGAATTAATAATGCTTTGCAACAGATCTACTGACACAGGTCTTTGATCTTGAGTTAAAATAGCCCTATGGTTGAACCATGTCAGTTCCTGTAGCCTAACATTTTGCCAGGTACTCATTTCTCATGATCAGTTTAAGACTTCATTACCTACTTTGGATTCAAGCTCTATTACCAGTCTGACCCCAAATCTATCATCACAACTTGTAGGGTATTGTGATCAGGGTTGAATTTTGCAAATAATTCCTTTCACAATCATCTAAACCAAGTTCTGTGTCTTTTCTTCCTGAATTTCATAATGCATGTAGTCTTGATTCTATCTTTGTAAGTTTAACTCTTTGAGAAGAGTCACTTTAGGGGGGGGGGGGGGGG